GCAGCTGCAAACGGCTCCAAGCCGGTAGCTGCACCTCGAGACTTTCTAGAGGGGAATCTCATTAATAAATATTAAAACGTACTTTCCCAGTAGTCACTAACACAAATTTTTAAGTTTTTAAGTTATTTTGTTACTAGCACTATGGATTTATAGTCCGAAATAAATTATTATTATTATTATTATTATTATTATTAGTATCAGGGTTCATCACGACTTATTCGTCCCGTCACAAGATATAATAAAAAAAACTGAACGGTTTTTAATACGATTTAAGCCATTTACAGTTAACAATGCTCCGTGCTTGCCCATCTTCATTAGAGAGAGAGGGGTCAAATGCGCTAAGTTCTTATAAAAATAATAATAATAAAAGGTCCTCAAACTGCCAGTGTACCTAAAACTAAAACCTCATACAGAGGAGGCTCCTACTTAATAGTGCAACGTACTTTCTCAATGTTAGTTAGGATTTACAAACCTCTATTGTGTTTGACTAAATGACGATCGCGGTGACCTAACGGTTTGTACTGTGGGCGCTGGACGTGGAGGTCCCGGGTTCGATTCCCGGTAGCACCGTATATTAGCAGTAGAGCTCCTTGTGAAAGACTTCGACCAGGGAAGTACTGCCACCTTACCTATTTGTGCCGCCAAGCAGTAATGGTTACATTATTGCGTTCCGATTTCGAAGGTGTTGGTCAACTTATGTCTCAGGTTGAAGGGCGCAATGGCAGTGGCCCTTCGATCTTCGCGTTTTAAGGCTCTGAGTGGCACTGCAACTGTTATGGACAGGCGTGTCACTTACCACCAGGCCCACGTCTTGTTCGTCCCGTCACCTTGGTATTATACGAGTATATAAAAAAACATCAAATTAGGAAATGAACTTTTTAAAATTGGTTCTCGTCTAGATGTTCTGGGAAGTGTCCCAGAATGAAATCCGTTGCCCTGATATTCATAATATAGGGTATTCCCATCGAGTATATAACCAGAAATAGAGACGAAATCAGGGCCATATATTCCTGGTAACACAACGATACAGCTCTTATAAATCTCGTTTGCACTGAAATATAGACTGGCCAACTACTGACCTATGTGTACGTCTCCGTATATTCCAAAAAATATTCTGTATTTATTGTAATAAAGATAATATCTCTAACAATGCCATACTTTCTATTCGGTGGTGTGGGAAAAACAGTAAAACATCTAATTACAAAATAAATGCAATCACATTTCATCGGTAATTAAATATTAAATATGTAATTTTGCAATTATCGTCCATTATAGCAAAGCTCAAGTTAACTGGTCGATTTGAAGTGAAACAGTTGACGACACACATTGACGACATCCGTCAATTATTTCGAACTCGGGCTAGCCAATCAGAGCGCAGTTGTCACAGTCGTGATATGGCAGAATAGTTTTCAAACAAATTGAATGACATTTCGTCTCTGTTTCTGGTTATACTCGATGGGTATTCCCTAGTTTGAGACCAGGTAATGGAAGTGGTTACCTGGCACATTAAATATGAACAATGTTTTTCGAATCCCTTATTCATTGAGCTATGCGTTAATCCATTCCATAAACGGAATCCAATCAATGGGCAGTTACTTAACTCCAACAATAGCTGACAATGGCCGCGATGACCATAATGGTTGGCCCAAATGGCCAGAAAATGGCGGGAAACGATAACGTGGCGTAATGTAATGACCACGATGATTTGTTTGCTCATAGCTTCGGGGTAAATTAGAGAGTCTAGACTTTAACGTTTGTTATAGAGGTTAATAGTGAACGAAATGTTTGGTGTGCTAAGTGTGACTATAAATAAATAGATAGAAGGGAATAATGATTTACGAACCAATCATGAGGAAAGAAATTCACAAATCCCTACTGCGTAGCATGTGCTACGTTAGTGGGAATTTGTGGAATAAAATTTAAGATTTTTAGTGGCGATTTGTGAAGCAAACCGGCCCTATTTAAACGTAGTGACATGTAAAGGAATATGAAAAAGCTAAAACGTTGAATTTAAATAGTAATGTCATCGCAGTACTGTCTAATTTTGCTTGCTTCGCTGTCAGTCGAACAAACGAAGACTAAAGCGTGAATGACGCTCTGTATACGATTTTAACGCCTTATAAGTTCGGACACTTTTTAGCGCGGACCCGACGTCCATATAATTGTAAGTCAATGGGCCCGAAGCTCTAATTTCCAACAGTTTCATTGAAGAATTTTAATATAAGTTGAACTTTAGTAGCAGTAGAGCACCTTGTGAAAGAGTTCGTCCAGGGAAGTACTGCCACCTTACCTATTTCTGCCACCAAGCAGTAATGTGAGCATTACTGCGTTAGGGTGCTGGTAAAATTATAAGCATGGCGGGGACTTTTCAACAAAATATAACTTCGTGACTGACGCTGAAGCCGTGCCCCTCAAATCCTTGCGATTTAAACCTCATTGCTATGGACAGGTGTGTCGCTTACCACCAGGCGCACGACTTGTTCGTCCCGTTAATTGATATTATATAAAATCTTCGCGCCCTATGTTCTTTTGAATCAATTTCAGCGCTCAATAATTGCAGTGCCACACACTTTAAACCACAAAGATCTGATGGTCACTGGCACTTCGCCCGTCACACTGAGACATAAGTTGATTAGTCCCATGTCCCTGTAATTTCACCAGCACCCTTACTCTTCAAAACCAGAAGGCAGTATTTCCCTGAACAAATACTTTCACAAGGAGCTCTACTGCTACAGAAGATACTGGAAGGACTACGCCCAGAACAGGGAAAAGTTTGCTCAGAATTGTAAACAAGCCTATTTTGGACGTAATTCACTACACTACGATATGTAAACTAAGTAAAAAGGTATCGAAGCGTAACAAAGCCTTGTCCCTAACGCGACAAACAGTAAAATCAGCTGTTAGCAAGGCCCATTGCATATACGCCTGCACTGTTTATTGTTTCACTTTCCCCGCATTTGCAGTTTTCTAGTTTGTTAATGAATAGTCAAGTTATTCAATTGTTTAGGTTCAGAGTTATAAAAACTAATGCGTTCTTTTCATGGTTGAATGTCACTGGTGCATAATGGGCTAGTATACTGAACAGGCGTTAACAGATGGTTTTTATTACAGATGAACTACAAAGTTTTTGAGTAACGAAATTCCAAAGTAACAAAGGACCAGAACGCCCTTGCCTCTGAATTTCAATATTTATTTATTTATGTATTTATTTAATTAAACTTTTTTGCACAATATAATATAGTACTAATGCCATATGACATTTTCTGCCAGTCAACCATTGGGTCGAACAGAAAAGACAAAATAGCATAAGACTTAAACCTCCTCCACTACCATCAGTCTCTTCATATATTATTTATATGGTATATAATAAATATAGTATAATATAAACATACTAAATATAGTATAATATAAACATACTAAATATATGTATGTCATAAACATACACAGTATATATAAAATTCCTATCTTTGCATGATCTAAACAAATAAAGTTGAAATACAGAAGGTGGTCAACGTCTTCTTGAGAATTACATAGCAGGTTTACTGACAAATCAGTCACGCATACGTGGTAATTATTGGTGAACAGTCTTTTTTGAGAGATCATGGCTTAGCACATCTAGTAGGTCACAAACTTAGGTATGAGGTAAACAAAATCAAATTACGCGCAAAAATTTTTTATAACACAGAGTGCATCGACCTGTCCTGCATACATACATACTACCTATATAAAAGCTTTCGACATGTTACATAACATTGAATCTTCTTAATAATTGAATTAAAAGGCCACATGTTCAAAACAAAAGAAGATCTAATGCCGTCTATTATGACGACGAAAACATGTTGCCCTTCGTAAAGATTTGTATATTGTTTCTTACGAGCGTGACAATAAATGGAGAAAGGGCTGACTTACAAGAACAGATTACTCAAGTGTGAAAGTAGGTTTAAAAAGTATGTGAATTACTTTTCCACGCCATTCAGTTTAGAAGTGGTATTATTTTTGAAGAAGAAACAAAAGAAGAGAATAACATACTGGTAAAATATTTTTTTTTATGTCATAATGACCTACTACACTCATAGGTTTCTCACAGGCGGCAAAAAAGCCGTTTAGACCTAAATCAGAGATGCTTCAACGAGCACAAAGAAATTCGTAAAGTCTGCTACCTCGGTCCGTAGCTCAGTGGGGAGAGCGATAGCCCCGGGTTGTCAAAAAAGTTCCTGGTTGGAACGTGCTACTTTTTCGGCCAGAAGGACTCGAGTCCGGTTGCATTGAAGACATTTTTCTTTTCGTTTGTTCGATTTTTGTATCAATAACATACTAATGTTAATTTATATGGACGCAGAGAGATCCATGAGGAAAGATATCTAAAATACTGACCAACGTTCCCACAATGTAAGGCTATAAGTTAAGCAGGCTAGCTGCCAGCTTACAGCTTAGAAGATTGGCTGAATCAGCGGAAATGTGTCACCATATTCCAGACGACTCAGATACTCACAGTAATATACTCATAGAGTATCTGTCGGATCGGACGCGAGTCGACGACGCAATGCCATTACTGTGGGAGGGACCAGGCTTCCGCCGAATCCGAGCGGAAGATCTTGGTTACCCGGATCGAGCGAGATCTGTCTCCGCCAGCCATTGTAACGGCGGTACTGGAGGATCAAGAGTCACAAGAGAAAGTGCTCTCCTTCTGTGAAGCGGTAATGCTCCAGAAGGAGATTGGTATGGTATATTTGAAGATCCGGAAGAATGTTATTATTGTTCATGTTGTTGCTAGACGATGTTAATTGTTCAAAATATGAAGCGAGTGGAATTCTGCTCATAGCTGAATAAGAGTAGCTTTTCACGTTTAAGATTCAACTTCCTAAATTATGAAGAAGATCGGTTAATTGCCCAGGGGATCATTGGATGCAATATTTTCATACATTATAATGAAAATATTGCATCCAAATTTATGTTTATACATCTGTTCTATATATGACTTATAAAATATCTAGAGAAGTGCATTTTTCACTGAAACTGAGGGCATACTTGCTAGGGCCTGAAGCATATTTAGTGCATTCTAAAGTACATTGGGCGTTTAGCGCTTTTTCCATTACAGTTTGCTGGGTCTTCAGAGATTAAAAAAGGTCAATCCACTTACCGTCATAAGAATCCGGGATATACAAAGGTTTGCCAACCAGTTTCCCCTTCTTTCCCGAAAGCGGCACCGCTTCCACTCTCCTATGGGCTTCGAGAACCCTATATAACAACACTGGTCTCTCTTCCCCTTCAAACTTAACCACTCTTGGCAGAGAAAATTTGTCGACAAACTCCTTTACAGTCATCACTTCACTACAGTCATCCTCTGGTTCTACAGACCCGTTTCTTCTTCCCAATAAAAAGTTATCCGCCCACTCTGGTGCATTCGGTCTCCTCTCCGGATAGTCAGGTCTCCTTTCACTACTCCTAGGCTTGTATCTTGGTGGTCTATCCCTTCTTACTAACGCTTCGTTTGCTTCTGCCAGCCATCTAGTTACTAATCGTTCTCTTTCAACGTCTAAGTAGCGTGGTTTAGAAGCATCGCAAGCGAAGCGCGCAGCGTCGAAGCAGTATTGAGGAGGTGGAGGTCGAATTCGGGGAGGGTAGAAGCGAGGAGGGTAGGGATGGGGATGTGGTGGATGAGGGGCGTAGGCCGGTGGGGTCCGCGGCCCCGAGCCCTCAACAGACGCCGTGCGGAACATGTCAGGGTTGCAATGACATCTGCAACAAGAAAATAAACCGTTTAATTAAAATATTCCTAGCTCATTCCGCTACAACACAAATAGTAACGACATGGTTCAAACACACGACAGTTTTACCATAGCATCTACAATGAGACAAGTATGATAACTCTATACAAACGTTAAACTGCCTCCGTGGCCTAACTGTTATCATGCTGATTCGCCACACATAGACCTCGGGTTCGGGAGAAATATTTGTATGTTCTGCATTTATTTATCTCGTGAGTTTGAGTGTAGTTGTGGTTGTCTATGTGCATACATGGTACCATAGATATTGAATGGTGCCCGCTTTTTTTGTAACGATTTCGATGACTTTCTTTTTGTGTAACAGGAGGTAACTCAGTAATAGTCCATTCGAATTTAAAGAAAATATTCTACCTTTAATGGCGGCACTTCACAAGGCTCTGTACTCGATATTGGGTATTTGTTGTACTTGGGAAAACATTTGACACACGTACAGACAAACGTACAGACACTGAGAAATATGACCGTCTACACATGGAGCCAAATAAGGAATTAAAATAATGAATATGACCATAGCGGGTTACTTACATAACGGTTTACTTGCGTTTTTGTCTATTTGACTCTTTTGATGTGCGTCAAGAAATCTACCAATGCGCGGTAATGCTTGTTCGTGTTTGCTGTATTTGTCGAATAGGCAAACAAGACGAATACTTTGTCACACACGCCAATCTACACATGGTGATTATTTGCCAAATATATTAAATATTTGTGTAGTGTAAGTTACGTTATTTACTTATATTTGCTTTTTTTATAATATCAAGTGACGGGACGAACAAGTCGTGCGCGTAATGGTAAACTTCACGCCTGTCCATAACAGTTGTAGTGCCACTCAGAGCTGTACATTGCAAAGATTCAGATCACACTGGGACACTGCCACTGCACCCGTCACCTTGAGGCATAAGTTGACAAGTCCCATGTGCCTGTAATTTCACAAGCACCCTTACCCTTCCAAATAGGAACGCAGTAATGCTAACATTACTGCTTGGCAGCAGAAATAGGTAAGTCTACTGCTGTTAATAATATTATTTGATATATTACCATCGTTATATTACCATACAGGTGATAAATTAGGAGTTGAATCCGGTTTATTGGATTACACCCATTTTCCATTAATAGATTTCAATAAAACTTGGCAAATAGATCCACAAACTTTTGAGGTCAGTTTTTTTATACAAAATTCTAAATATTTACCTATGATTTTTGTACACTAAAGTACCGGCACGCTATGATGGCCGCTTTGACGTTTGTCCGCTCATCAAGTTTCGTATTAATTCATAACTACGTTAAAGGAGCTAATTGCTGGATATTGTTGTCCATAGTGACGTCAAGTAAAATTTATTGATGTGTAATTTTGGGATACAACTCGGCATTTGTTTATCGAAATTCGAAATTTAAAAAAATGAAATATAATACGATCGTCACTTATAGGATCGCTGTCCAGCACAACTTCTACCTCCGGCAAACTCGCGTCAAAGCTCAATGCAAAACAAAGCAGTTTCGAATTGACGATATATTAAGTTAACATTTTTATTTTCATTTTATTAAAACTTTTTAATCAGCTACCCCTTTCAATACTAGTTATAAATCTAAAAACTTATAAATGTGACTCGCATTTGATTATATTTTTTTCATTAATGAATTGAGATTTCACCTCACTATTGTAATCTGTCAAAACGGTCATCATAGCGTGCCGGTTCTGTAATGCTATGACCTACAATACAAAGCAGTAGCTCTAAAATATATTTCAAGAAATTCAAATATAGTTTCAAATGTTTTGAGTTTCTTCTGCATTTAAGCCACTTAAGGTCACAGACCTTATACCAATGAGGATGTGTAAATAAATAACAGTAATCGTCCATATAACTATTATGGATTAAATGCTTTACGATCGCTCTTCATTGAGATTAACTTTTTATATGGAGAGCTCGACTATTATAAAAGACATTAGGAGGTCAATCTCCTTATACGAAAATTGAAATATTAACGTTTGAATGAATAATTAGATATCGTAATAGGCAGAGTATACACTTCGAGTAATATACATAGAGCGGATGACACCTACCCATGTTAATACAAATTCAAATTCAAAATTTTTATTTCGAGGCATGTTCATAGTATGTTAGTTACAAAACCTTATAAGCTATGTTAATATGAGAAATTATTATTAAATACATCTAAAACAAAAATGAAAAACACCGATACACCGAATTATACAATAAGCTCCTGGAACTCAGTGTACTCTGACTTCCAGTGCTTCCAAATAGCACAAGCAGGATACCAAATTAAATTCACACGGCTGTTGGATTCACCACACACACGACGCATCAGGGAGGCATCGAGACCTGCAGCTGGGCGAGCTCGTCCTCATTAAAGACGAGAGCCTGCAACCGTTACACTGGCGTATGGGCCGGGTCAGCAAGATGTACCCCGGCCCTGACGGCATCCCTCGGGTGGCAGACATAGCCACATCCCGGGGCATCATCCGGCGGGCGCTCAACAGGATCTGCCCCCTGCCATCTACACAAGACTCTTGAAGACTGGTCTTCAAGGGCCCGGAGTATGTTTACGCCGTAACACCGGCCCGCGGGCGCGGTATGAAGGAGGGCGCGGGGCGAGGAAGCCCCTGCGCCGGCACTGCTACTGGCCAGAGCGGCGCGTACGGACGCGCGCGCATTTTCATATACAACTTTACATAAGTGATATTCTATATTTTTATTAAGAGTCTTTATTACAAGTTTACAGTACAAATAACCCCCTTTCATTTATAATGCTGTAAAGCTTAAACATAAGAAGCGTCTTGCGTATTATCGAACTGAAGCTGTGTTTATATGTATATTATATTACTAGAAGGCGATTGTAGCAGTAAAGCTCCTTGTTAACGAGCTCGTTTAGGGAAGTACTGAATATTTCTGTAACCTTACCTATTTCTGCCGTCAAGCAGTAATGTAAGTGTTACTCCTTTTGGTTTGGTAGAGTGAGGGTGCTGGTGAAATTACAGGCACTTTCTTCTCCTTATCGCGTCGATATTTCTTTGTTTTTAGAACTATATTGACTCTGAATAGTACGTTGCTACCATGACTGCGTTGTCCGTGGCCGCGTAGAGATCTTCCCTAGTGCCCCTGTGTGTGGGCACACGCCCTTTGCGTCCTAATACCTGTAATTAGAACGCAAGGGGCACAACAGTAACAGTAATGCTGCATGGGCTGTCTTGCGGCACCGCAGTCACATTGGGTTTGAGTAGTATCCCTGTAACCCCATTTACATATCTTGTCTCTGCAGCGTCCTGCCTGAGTATGAAGACGATTTAAGGACTTCCATACGGGTCACCGCAGATCGCAACCTGGTGGTTGCTCTTGAGGTATAATGAAACCATGGTGGAGGGTTTTTCGGTTTCCACAATGCACACCTAGTGACAGATGGGTGGACACTCGTAGCCTTTGTGGTATTTGTCAACTTATGTCTAGCGCCCATTGACTTACAAATAAATGGACGACGGGTCTAATACAAAAACCACGAAAAATGTCATCGCAGTATCGCGCTGTCCGTAGAACAAATGAAGACTAAAGCGGAGTGTCGCGCTCTGTATACGATTTTAGCGCCTTACAAGTGCGGACACTTTTTAGCGCGGACCCGACGTCCATATAATTGTAAGTCAATGCTAGCGCCCCTCTGATCTTTGCGATTTAAAGCTCTGAGCGACTTATGGATGGGTGTTGCTTACCACCATACACGACCTTGAACGTCCCGTCACTTGGCATTAAAAAATAAAAACCTCTCTGGAAAATAACGAATGATAAAAATAAAAGCAAAAAAATTATAACGGGTACAAGGCCTACCGCTTAATTGAGGTTTCTGAGGTAACTGTGCGGTGCGGGAGGAGCAGAGGAGGAGAGTTTGGCACTAAACGGGTCACTACCACGAATTTTTGTCATTCAAGTACACAGAAGTTGTATAATAAACGTTTAGTATAAAGTTTTTGTTTCTGTGTAGTTTAAACTGTGTTGGTTCAATTCATAAATTGAACTTTAAATAGGCATTTAATTTGAGCTTTATTTGGTTGTATTAATGGGCAACAATTGTAAAATGTATTGTTAGATTTATGTTGTATTTTATGGCAACACATTCTACTCAAAACTCTGTTCCATACAAGTGTGCATCGCTAAATGTATAAAAAATTAAGTTTCTAGCCTGCGTTTTTTTAGCTTAAATCCATGAGTCGCTGGTTCATATCCGAGTCGAAGGATCACTCACTTGTTTATATATTTTTGAAACACAGCGATGCACACTTGTATGGAACAGAGTGAATTTTAAAATTTTTAATATCAACAGGAATCTTACAATTGAAGCGTATAACATTGTACCCTAAATGAATTTACTCTAAAACTTTATTCCTCGTATTAATGTTAAGTCTGTCACTATTTTCCATAAATATTCTTCTAAACATAAATTACATTGACATAAATGTACTGAGACATAAGAAATACGTTAGTGATATAGAGTTCGCAGGTGTTATCAGCGAAATGCCGTTGTCTGTACAAAGTATGCATGACAATACAATACAGTTCAAGTAATATGGCATTAACCTTCTTACTCTATATATGCAATAAAAAACACTTTGTAGAAGAAAAAAACTAAAATCGATTAAGTTTTTTTTATAATAAGTCGATGTCCTCACTAATCAGCCTTCGATCAGTAGAGCCAATTCTAATCAAATCTTCAACAATGAAATATATATCTTAAAGATATAGATTTAGAGTTCAAAATTACAAAACGTACTTACAACAATTATAACTCAGCAGGTTGTTTAAAGCAACTTACTAACGTGAGTCATAAAATAAATTCTTGAAATAAATATTTGTGCTTACAAATTATTTAACAGCAAATATTAATTTGTCAAACTTTAAGTTGATAAAAACTGAAATAAAATTAGGAATTCTTATAGTATTTTTTCTTAAT